GCTGACATATCAAAATCTACACATGCCAATATGTCCTGAAAATGTATTTCTAGAAAAATCTTTTTTTTTTCTTGGCTTAATGAGCTATGCAACTTGATATTGAAACATTTTTTTCTAATTCATGGTCTACTAGTTTGAAATACATATAGAAATTAAGTTTTAAAACCAGTCTAAAAATTCTAGTGATTTTGATTGGCTGATTCTAGCGTAAGATTTCAGGAAGTGACAATCAATGACTAGTTTTCAATCTTTAAGCTTATAGTTTATCAGTGTAACAGATGTTTTATTTCTTCTCACTTTTTTTGCTAAATTCATTTCATGCCTTGAATAGAACTTGTGTTTTTAAATTCCTTCATCCAGACTGACACTGACTGCCTCATTCTTTATCATAAAGTTAGCTACCCTTCATACTGTTCCAGGCCAAACTAAACATTTTCTGCTGGAAAGTGGCCATTTGATATTAGTTTATGCCTTACGGTATCAAACAAATTCTACACGAAAACAATTAATGCTCCAAACTTTGGCCAAGGAATTGTAACATTTGAAATATTGTAATAGTTTATTGTCTGATTGTTGATATGGTACCATGTTTTATGATGACATTTTAGAAATACAAGAGATATTTTATCTCTAGGCCGTCCAAGTGAGTTACACCATACTGTTATTTGATCATGATCTAGAGTTATTGTACATTTTAAAATGCTCCCATACTAAATTCCTAATACAAAAAGTTGTAGTGTTCATTTTCCCTGAAAACCAGAAAAGGGACCTTTCAATAAAGACAGTGTTTTTATCATATTATTAGTTTAATTTCTTTTATTTTGATATGATTATGACTACTGGCTGATTCGCAGAACATGATTTACAAATGTGAAGTGGCATAAATGTGTAAAGAAAAGCAAACAAAAATAGTGGCTTTAACTTTTGACTGCTCGCTTGGTAATGACTTAATCCCAAAACCATCATTATAGAATCTGGAAAAGGTACGATCCCTCAGAAGCAATGAAAACCAACAAAATTAATGAAAATTGCATGAGAGATAATATATAAATGTGATATCTTTCATGCCCCCAAGTACCAGGTTTAAGCGGTAGTCATGTCTGCAGTTGAAGTGCACATCAGCACAGGTTGACCTGTGACTCTTTTACTGTAGTTTGTAGACTTATAAACTTTTTTTAGAATTTTGACATTGATATCATTTCAATAGTTACAAAACATAGGGAAAATCAGTTTCAAACAAGTTCAATATACATGTACAAAGTAAGTTTTTAAGCTAGGTCATCCGAGATGGTAAAGGTTACCATGTTTTTCCTGTAGCTTGTTATAGAACTCTGGAATTTACAGATCATGTATTGTAAGTATTATATATACAGTAAACTCTTACAACAATATTGCTTTATAATGATACACTGCCTATATCAATGTCCCAACTGTTTGTTTTTAAATTGTTTGCCTGTCAGATGTAATGATATACATATATAGGGAGATAACTCCGGTGGTCCCCTGAATAGCATAATAAGTGGAGTTTACTGTACTTCTGTCGTATATTTAGTTCAGAATGATATGAAGAAACAAAAAACATTATACATATGTATTATTTAGTGTAACTGAATGTAAATCTGCTGTGCAAAATTGTAAAAACCCACTTACAACAGTTTTTCATTGAACATTGCAAACATGTAAACCTGCAATAACTCATGGTATTTATAGATGTTAGTTACAGCAGTTTTTCGTTAAATGCATTTACAACCGCATGTTACTTTCCTTTACCTGCTATTTACAGAATTCACTGATTAACTGATAGTAGAAAACAATCAAGATCGATTTAGAATGGGAGACAAAAACTAAAGCAAAACATACTGGTAAAGTATTCCACTCAATTACTGCTAATCATATAACATTTGTGCCTCGAAGGCTTTGCTCAGTAGTAGATCTGCCAATTTAATTATACCAAAACAATTATAAATAGATTGTCTTCTTGTTTGAAACTTGTTTTAGTTTTTGTTCTACAGCATTCATATTATTTCAAAGCAAAATAACAAAAGTAGAATGTTAACTACATGTAGATCTGGGTTGAGTAGGGGAATCAGGTAGCAAGAAGGTTGTGAAGAGAAAACAGGAAGCAGGGGGTTGTAGAGAGGAATCAGGAATTGAGAAGGTTGAAGAGGGGAGACAGAAAGCAAGGAAGCTGAAGAGGGAAACAGGAAGCAAGGAGGTTGTAGAGGGGAAATATGAAGCAAGGAGGTTGTAAAGGGGAAACAGGAAACAGGAAGGTTGTAGAAGGGAAACATGAAGCAAGGGGGTTGTAGAGGCGAAACAGGAAGCAAGGAGGTTGTAGAGGGGAGACGGTAAGCAACAAGGTTGTAGAGGGGAAACAGGAAGCAAGAAAATTGTAGAGGGGAGACGGGAAGCAAAATGGTTGTAGAGGGGAAACAGGAAGCAAGAAGGTTGTAGAGGGGAGACTTGAAGCAAGGAGGTTGTAGTGGGGAGACGAGAAGCAAGGAGGTTGTAGAGGGGAAACAGGAAGCAGGAAGGTTGTAGAGGGGAAGCAGGAAGGTTGTAGAAGGGAAACAGGAAGCAAGGAGGTTGTAGAGGGGAGACGGGAAGCAAGGAGGTTGTAGAGGAGAAGCAAGGAGGTTGTAGAGGGAGACGGAAGCAAGGAAGGTTGTAGAGAGGAAACAGGAAGGTTGTAGAGGGGAAGCAGGGAGTTTGTAGAAAGGAAACAGGAAGCAAGGAGGTTGTAGAGGGGAGACAGGAAGCAAGGAGGTTGTAGAGAGGAAACAGGAAGGTTGTAGAGGGGAAGCAGGAAGGTTGTAGAAAGGAAACAGGAAGCAAAGAGGTTGTAGAGGGGAGACGGGAAGCAAGGAGGTTGTAGAGGGGAGACTTGAAGCAAAGAGGTTGTAGAGGGGAGACGAGAAGCAAGGAGGTTGTAGAGGGGAAACAGGAAGCAGGAAGGTTGTAGAGGGGAAGCAGGAAGGTTGTAGAGGGGAGACAGGAATCAAGGAGGTTGTAGAGGAGAAACAGGAAGCAAGGAGATAGTAGAGAGGAATCAGGAATCAAGGAGGTTGTAGATGGGAGACAGGAAGCAAGGAGGTTGTAGAGAGGAATCAGGAATCAAGGAGGTTGTAGATTGGAGACAGGAGGCAGGGGGGTTGCTGAAATCAATGATCCCAAACAAGCATTATTTAACCACATAAGGGGAATGGCGTACACCTTTTAGTTAGAGTGGAGTTCTTTGAAGTCATTGACCAAGAATAGCCACACAGCAAAGATGGTACTGGGTTTAAAAACAACAAACAGAAATATTTTTTGACTATAGCACTTTTTTATTTCCATGACTCAAATAAATTAAGAAATAATGATTGAAGAGAGAATATCTCAATATTTACAAATAATACGTTAACTATGTACATGAAGTTTAATTATTTACATGCATAATATTGCACTAAGCATAGAACACATCCTCAAAATGTGTAATTCATGTTTATAATAACTAGCATAGACATGCCTAATCAATGCTCACCTTAAGGACTTAAATTTGCTTTCCTTCAAATCAGATATGCAATTTTGTAAATAATTGTTATGCCCCTTATTTTTAATATAAATAACAAACTACATAAAGTGTACCAGGGAATAATAATACACAGAAATTAGCACAACTGGTGTCCCATGTTAGATAAGTCGTTGCTTCAGAGAAAAAAATCAAACTTATGTACCTAAATGTACAGCATACGCATAGTATTATTATCCAGTAGGTTTTATTGACTGTCAGACATTTTGACTTTTCACCTTCTCCAACTTAAAAGGAATCGCTTACTTTTTGACTGGATAATTCAAATGCTGGTGATGACAAGTTGATTTAATGTCAACCAATTTTCAAATGAATTTCCATTTTGCAAACACTTAAGTAACATAGTTAAAATAAAGTGTACACCTGAGGCGCCATGTGTACACCTGCAGCACCGGACAAAAACAATGCATAGATATTTCTGTATTTACTTTTTGACACTGATAACTTTGCTAGGAGCTGTCAGTTATTAATACAAGTACAATTTTAATCAAACTTAAAAGGTAAAATTACTTTGATATATAAAATGAAATGTTTTTTATCAAAATGCACGCTGTTTTCAGCGAAACAGGTCATACAGTTTGCACTTCATTCTCTTGAAATATATATTCTAGTGAGTTGAGAAAATAAATATTTATGTTGAATAGTTGAAAAAGTCAAGCTACTGTTTTCATTTTGGAAAATATATATTTGTTTTTAAAAAATGTAAACTTAATCGTCAGAAAAGAGAACCTTTTACCCAAAATTTAGGGCATAAAAGGAGAACCGGAAGTGGCACACCTGATTTGAAACGTCTCAAGGACTGACGGTGCTTAAGGTGTGCATTGAGTAGGCATGATAGAGCACATAAAAAGTGTTATACATGTGTCATAACTAGCATATAATTATCAAACTGTGTAAAACATTTACGAAACTAGCATAGCACATGTTGAAATGTGTAATATTCATGCCAGCATTGATCACATAAAAATGATGATTGTGTAATTCATGTAGCTAGCGTTAGAACACATAAGAAATGTGTAACATAGTAAAATGCTAGCAGTATAACACATTCAGGCGTGTAATGCCATACATGGACATAACTAGCATAGAACAGATTGTAATGTGTAATTAAGTAAGTAACAACTTTATTTAATGAGGCTAACACAAATCGGTTTGTCGATCTTCCATGCGGGCCTCATGTATATAGTACATTTCAACTTATTGTTATGAACGTTGGCAATGGTAGACTTAAGTTGTTTCAACAATTTCAGATCCTGTTTTCAAAAGCAGATTGTTTTTCAAAAAAGATTTATTGGTATAAGGACAAACTTCCATCCAAATTTAACAATAGCATTGGAGCATAAAATTGTGTACATTTTCAGATGCAAGTTGTTGTTTGTTGTTTTTTGTTGTTGTTTTTTTTATAAAAGCATTGTGTTTAAGGAACATGATCTAATTTAATTTACAAAAGGCAAAACTGTTGTGTTTCACTGAATAATAAGTACAATGTACATGATTATGGTATAGTAAACTAATGTCATCTAAGGTAAAAATGCACTTAAGTGCAAAATTTGTTTAAAATAATTAGATAAGATTTCTAAAAATAGAACTTTTCCAAAATTCATGAGATAAATTTATTATGTGATTCATTGAAATGAAGATAAAACTTTGAAAAGTAAAACTTTCAATGACATTTGAAATGATTAAATTTCTTATACAAGATAAATCAAGGTGTTTTTCATATAAACCTGTCCATGTGTTGTTTCTAAATATAGATCTGATTCAATTTCTGTTAAAATGCAAATTAATTTCTGAAAAGAATTTAAATATAAAATAATTTGTTACACATTTCTGAAAATAGAACATTGTAATTTCACAAAAATGATATAATTTTCGTAATTTAATTCTATTTTTTTGTAATTTTGTTTGAAATCATTTTACTATTTTAAAATCTTAGTATATTTCATTCAAAGGTGTAAAATGGAACATTGCAATTTCACAAGTAAATTTACTTGATTTTCTAAAAATAGATTTATTGTGAAATTGACATAAAATATGTTAATTTTTCTGGCTAAGGTTAAAAATTTATTGGAATTACTCCAAAACAATACAAATTTTTACATATGGCTTTACACAAATTTTCAATTCCCAACAAATATAACAAAAATTTTAACAAAATAAAAAAAATGGAAATAATGTACAAATAATATGATTACCATAAATATACGTGTAATTTTAAGATTCAACACATGAAAATTTTAGCATTAAGTATGAAAACTAAACTTAAGCATCAAGGCTTTACATATTTTTTGAAAAATGCATGTACAGAAATAAATTTCATTGTAAAATTTTGGAAACATTATTAACATTATAGATTATAAATGAATATAGGGTAGAAACATATCAAAGTGTTTATAAATTTTTATTCACACTTTTTTTTGTAGAAATAGACTAGAAAATTATTTTACCTTCTTGAATACTGTCCAAGAAGTGGAATAACTCTTACATTTATATGCTAGAATATTACTTTTAAGTGTCACTTTTATTTTTAGCCTTTTAGATGTTTTATGGTACCTTTATAGTACCGAACTTCCTCATAAATGCACTAATTGATAACTGGTATTTCCATAAAGTCAGTATAGTGTGTTAATTGGTTAATGTGCGAAAAAAATAGTTCAGTTATCTTTGTTTTTTTTCATGTTATTATATAATATAGAAAGGAATGACATTGTTTTTACGATGTATACACATTTCCCTACCTTTATGATTACATACTCCTTGCTAGAGCTTAACGTAAATGTTTGCCATTTTGTTTTTTAAACTCCAGAGATATTTTGAGCATTCATCGTAATGCTGTCGTAATTTACTTGTTAAATTCATTTACTTATGACAGTCTTCCGTTGAAATGCTCAAAATTGTGTTGTAATTCCATATCACAGATATTTTAAAAAAAGCCCATCTGTGGCGTATTAATATTGTAAAAACAGGTCATCTTTGACGTGAAAACAACATTTTGCCGCATTCACACAATAATTATGTTTTGTTTTTTTTTGCATATAATATTACTCAATACACTGTACACACTGTTTCCACATACTCACATAGAGTTTTACATAGTTACCTAGAACAGTATCGGAGACTTGCTTTAAGTCGTTTTTAAAGTCCCTGATCTTTTTATAAACAATCACAGCGTATCTTCAATACAATGGGGGAGTTCTGGGAGTTCTGATATGCATGATTGAACATGTTTTACGCATGTCACACTTGATATATATATATATGGTTTATCGGGCACACAAACAACGTTAACAATTTGGTTTCCATTCCTAACTAACCAAATTCGCTATCTATAACCATTAATTCTTGGTTGACCATTGTTCAGTTCACTAGTTCACTAACCAACTGTTTACTAAACAAACTGTTTGTTTTTTTCTAACTATGAATTGCACTTTTTGATATAATTTTGAAACTCGTTCAATTCTTCAAGTGATCAGTTGTTTGAAGAATTGATTTTTTGAATTAACTGCAAGCAATTTTTTCATTGGTTCATTATCATTAGTTCATACTGCAAGCAGTCTTACAGAGATGAGCTTATTTTACTATTCAAAACTTTCACTGCTTCTTAACTTTCTACTGCTAGCATCTTCTATATTTATACTAGTAGGTTTTTCCCAAATAGCTAGCAGTAACATAAACGTGTGCAGTTACTTCTGGCTGCTTTGCCATTTTTACTGCTGGCAATCACAACATAATCACTTTTCCTTTAATGCTGGCAGTTTCACCTTTCTGAGTTTTTCATGTTTTTTTTTACAAAAGCACTATTCCTCTATTGCCCCAAGTTGAATAACAAATAGTCCCGATTTTGCAAGCAGTTACGTCTCTTTTACTGCTTACTGTAACAGTAGTCTCTATCTACTGGTGTTTTAGCAGAAACTTCAATTTTACTGCTAGCAGTAATATCGGTTAATGCAAGCAGCCTATTCCTTCTACTGCTAGCAGTTGTAGTAAATCTCTATGCCCTGAAATTCTGTCCCCGTACTACTTCTGAATGCCGGATTTCTTGCATCCAGATATTCCACGTGTTGAGATTTATGCCGGTACGATGATTGTTTGTCGTGCCACCATCGGTACACTAGCAGTATCAGCAGCACTATCAGGATAAACGTGAGACTTCCGATAACACCCGCTACTATAGCAACTGAAATATAGAAATATCACAACCATATAAATGCTTGTTCAGGTCATTGTGAATAAAGAATGGAAATCATTCGGGTACAAATCTTATTGTTGTTATAAAAAATATTTTAGAAAATTTACTGTTAATATCAAATCCAAATTGTATTTTCTTGATAAATGCTGTATATGCGGCTGAACCAAAGCATTGCAGCCTTGTGAAAAAGTTGTGTATTGAACCACCATAGTAATGTTATTTGTGGATAACACTAGGGTGTAGCAAATACAATTAAGTCTACTATGGTCAATGCAGTTGACCTTAAAAAAATTTAAGACAAAAATTATGACACTGGGACATCAGGGGAGGTAACTATCAGGGGAGGTTACTAGAGTCATAATTTCAATACATTTTAATTCTACTTTTCTAATAATCTCTATTGATTTAAAATCATAAATTATATTGCCAATTATAGCATAATATTGAATAATATTGCAAAAAAGTAGCTTAGAAACATTTGAAGAAACATAAGGAGATTGTGATTTCAAAAGATTTGTCGTCAACAAAAAGTGACCTACCAAAGGGAAGTTTCTCCTCTTTGGGTTGTGTATTTTGTTGTTTCTCAGTGGCTTGAACGGGTGATTTGACTGTAGGTTTATAAACTGGAGATGGTTTGATAGTTTTTGTCTCCGTCGTGAACTTCTCTGTCGTTGATGTGGTCACAGGTAGTGGCGGATATGCTGAAAAATATACGACTGTGTTAATTAACTGTGAAATTATATAATTTGATGGGTCGGGATTTTGTGGGTAGGGTTCACTCTTGGGCCTAGCTGTCCTGTTTTAGCTCAAAGTCAGTTTGACTGGCAGAGGAAAACTCCCAGATTCTCTTTCTGATATTATTACCTGCAGACAATAGACCTACTCCGAAATTAAGAATATTTCAGGTTTTCCCAGCTAATCCGATGGTAGAAACAAACTTTTACAGTTAAAAATTATGCAGTTACTGTTAGTTTTGAAAATATGCACAACAGATTCACTAATCTAAATGGTAGTGCACTGTGAAACTGTAATGGTAAAAGTTTGTTTGTACTGGGGGATAAGCTTTGAAAAACCCACATTTGCCGAATTACGGATTACAACTATTTACCACACTCTTAATTGTTACAAATTAATTGTTATAATTACAAACCTTCATCAAACAAGCTGGAAGAATTGAAACATTAATTTTGTGGAATGCCAACAAGTGGATACTTAATTGAAACATACCAATATGATTATAGGACAAGTATTCATTGAGCTTTAATATTATTGCTGCCTTTCTTACATTGTTTTAGACAACATTAGGTCTGAATGCACTATATTAAACTATGAGTACAACTTCTGCACAACTGCGTCAGGGAATCGGCTCTAAAAAAAAATTGGCTCAGTGGTCTAGAGTATGTGTACATGTATTTTCGCTTACAAGTGGATGGACACATGTTTGAATCTCAGTACACCCTGATGACTTTTCTGAAAATTTTACATCTTAATCTGTTGCACAAAATAAATGTTTGTCAGAAATTCCAACCAAGGCTGGATCTTTTCTAAAACATTTGCATCTTCCTTTCATGAATTAAAAATGTTTGTAAGAACAGCTTAAAGCTGTAGCATGTAACTATAACTGTAAATCAACTACTGCCTGGAATAGATTTGGAATAAGCTTTTCCTCTTGTTAGCCAAAAATGATAATCAAATTATTATTTGATAACAGAAATTGCCTTCGATACAGTAGGAAAACAATTTTTTTGGAGTTCTGAAGATAAGATAATATAATTTGGATACTTTATTTTCAGTTGAATACATGTATATGGCATTCTTATTAGCTTTTATAACTGTAGCATATAGGCAAATCATAAAATTATTCAGAGTTAAACATTTTTTTAAAGATATTTTCTTTGTTTAAATAGGTGATATAGTACTAGTTACTACAATGCAGTCGATTAACATTCAAGTTATAATTACTTGATGCTTTTTTTTTCTTTTCCCAATTAATGATATCATATATCTTTAAATATATATACTTCATTTTTTTTTCCTTCTTTTCCCAATTAATAAATTATAATAATTCATATATATTTGACAATATATACTTAATTCTTTTTCCCAATTAATAGTATCATATATCGTTAAAATATTTATATATACTTAATTCTTTTTCCCAATTAATAATGTCATATATCTTTAAAAATATAGACTTAATTCTTTTTCCCAATTAATAATATAATTTATCTTTTAAAAATATATACTTAATTCTTTTTCTCATATATCTTAAAAATATTGTTTTTCTGGAACTTTTTTCTCTGGTACATTAATGAATGATTCAGTTTTGCTATTTACAATAAAATACATGTTTTTATGACTTAAGGTATACTGTAAGATTTAAAGTACAGGAGTACTTTTGAATTAAGTGTCCATAAATTGTTCCTACAATCATGTTTTATAATTTGTAGGAAAACCATCCTAATTTGTACTTTAAGCTATATAAGATACAATATTATTGCATTCTGCTCTTGAAATATGTTTTTGTTTTGGTTTTGAGTCAGTGACGAACTTTCTGCCAATAATGCAGCCATGTTAATCCAATTAAGCATATGGTACTCGTTAATTGGAAAAACAATTATAGGTAAAAGAGTGCATAATTTTTATATTGACATGTTTTTTGACATAATTTTTGACATCGGCTCTTATATGTGATTTGTTTCAAGAGAATTGAACCAAGAAATTTGTGATACTTGAAATAGGTAAATAAATAAAAAAAAAATTTTAAAAAAAAGGGTGTAAAAAAGTTGATGAATTTATTTTTTTAAGTAGATAAGTAGATTGTTCTTGTTGTTGTCACGTGATAAAAAACGCCCTATATAAGTGGTTCATTGTTTTTGTTGTTGTCGCCCTATATAAGTGGTTCTTGACCCTTAGTTGCTAGTGTGTGTTACTTGCTGTATATAGGGCATCGAAGACAATTACAAATTTAAAGAAAGACAAATGTTAATATTAATTGAAGCACATCAGGAGTAAAAACTTACCTTCATAATAAACCCAGAAACCTTTATTGCTTATACTTCCATCTGCTGAAAACCTTATTGATATCTCGTTGCTACGTAACGTGGTCAGTTTCTCATTGGTTCGTCTGCCGCACAGCGTCACGCTCCGCTCATGGTTATATGCATACATCCAATCGTGACAACCGTAAGTTCCATTTATTTGTAGGTCCATGTCTATTATAGTTAGATTAATCGTTTGAGAAGGATTTGCTATTATTTTCACCAAACAATCTCGAGAATTTGGATAGTTTTTCGGGTATTTTGGCGTTGATATGAATCCCCTCTGAGCTCTTATGACAGAGTTACCATTTGGTTTACATATATCGTATGTGTCTATCACTGAAATGTAAAATATAATACTGTTCTATATGTAAATTTATTGTGAAATGGAAAAATTGTATTTAAAACAATATAAATACAAAGAATTATAATAGTGAAACTAAAAGTAATGGATTTTTAAGGACGTTTTAAAATTTAATGCTGTTTTCAAGGTTATTTTCCAGTCAGGTGACTGCCTTAAATAACTGTACATGAAGCTTGACCGATAGCCGAGAAATAGCAGAGAACGTTTATGCTCGACTTAATTAAAAATCCCGAAGGACTCTGGAACCGTCATTTGTGTTCATTTTTCAAAACGTTCAAGTCTGCAATTTACTTGAAGAATGTATTTGTCAATATTTTGAATATTTACCGAGTATTGCATTGAATACTAGAAAATTGATTTGCTGAAATGTGTTTGCTTTATGATTTTCACACACTTAACACTTCGCTAAATTATTAACAATGTTTAATCAATTTGTTTGAAATGTCTATGTATACAGTCATTAGGCAAAATTAAAACAAACTCGGAAAGTTTTTCGTCAGTAAGCAAATTTTTGAGCCATTATTATTTCTGCCTTACATTTCCCTATTTAAACATTTTCTTTAGCTGATTGCGCGTAATTTGCCCGACTTGTCCTAGAAATTTAACGCTGAATTGTGTCCTGCATGCAGTTCAGAAACTGACAATAATTGTCGGGACTCCCATGAAGTTATTTGACTTGAAAAATTTGGAAATATTTTCTTCAGAATTTTGAATACCATTTCAGTGTGTCAGTAGGTCTGGACTGCAAATTTGTTCGATCATTTGCTTATTACATTCTTCCAGAATAATCATAATTGATATGCAAAATTTAACCAAATGTTACAAACATTGCAATGCTTTTAACTCAAATGGGGATAAGAATCACTAAAAAGAAATTGGTTTTTAATTTTAATTTTCTTGTGTATATATCTGTATTATCTTTTGCAATATTTCTGCATTTTGATTAAGTGCACCAGATTTTCTATGTAAGAATTTCAAATTTTATGTTTTTAGGCTTTAAAATGGACCTCAGTGGACTTCCTTTTAAGTGTTATAAGTTACAAAATCATTTGAAAAATTGAGTCCATTCATGATGTATTATTTGCATTTGCGGAACAAACTAGATTTGTTGACAAACAGAATATTTATGTTTATTTTACAATACAGTCTGTCATATTATATTGTTACAAGGGTTGATATAGTTTTATTTATGAATATAAAGATATCAAAAGGTTTTCTATCCTTTTGTACTATCGAGGATGTTGTTTCACTGGCAACAGATCACAGGTCGTGTTTTATTACATTAAACAATATTTCAATTCGGATGTAAACAATATTAATCCAAGCATTGTAAATAATATCTGCTCTTGTCCTGTAGCTCGTACAAAATCGTAACAAAAGAGAGCTCTAATATTTACTATTAAACAGTTTAACTGTTTACAACACATTGTTGAAATTAGACCAAAAAAGTAGTAATCAATACAAGGGTGTTAGTAAAATGTAAACATTGCGAATGATGTTGATTTCACACCGACAGCTGCCGTATTAATACATCAAAAAGCAGCACTAGGTCGCGTGGAAAATACCGCCATTTATATCCGTAACAGATGGTTGTAGCAAGTTACACTGTGTAATTTCTAATTGTCACAAAATACTTCATTAAAGGAGCATGCCCATAGATAGATATTTATTATTAAATTATTGAATTGATTGATTAATTTAGTTAGGGACCAGTTACACAGACGGTCGGTCCCAAATCGGTCATTTAATTTTAAATTTATGATCGGTTGTCATGCGTGATTTTTTTCTGGTTTTCTGTGTAAACGGCCATCGGTAACAGAAAGCAAACTCAAACGGGGTTGGGTCGATGATTAAATGCTGAAATACTATCGGTTTTCATCGTTTGTAAATCGGAGCTAAATCGGGCGTAACGCTGATTAATCGGTGTTTGATAGCTAGTCATCAGTGGTTAAACACTTTCCGTCAGATATGGCCGGTGATTAATATTTGGTTATCTTTGTCCGATCGGCGATATCGATGATTAAGAGCTTGCATATAGGTTGCTGTCGGTTATTTGTAAAATATTTTCACCGATTGAGAATTTTAAGCATGTTTAAAAATCCCAATCGGTTATTTTTCACCGATGAAACTTATCTTTCCCCAATAGCAGTTGATAGGTGGAAAACAGGTGACCAATAGGTGATATCGGTGTTAAATACGTTGTCATCGGTTCACTACATAATTTGGCTAAAAAAACTACCGATCAATCACCGATGGGTCTGTGTAACTGGGGTGTTAAGTTGGGTACCAATAAGGCAATACAATAAATTGGTGACTGTCAGTAGAAATATATATATATATAACAATTGCATTTCCATTATAAAGTGGCAATTTCTGCAGACTTAAACTTTGCCAAACTGTGATAAAGGTCATTCTAAAATCAATCAAGAATTATTTTGTGGCCTTTCTCAAATTTGCAAGACTGACTTAAAATTTATGGCCAAAATCAATGTTGTTTTTGTGATTATTAGGAGTTTTTTCAGAAACATATTTTATATAATTATATTTAATAAAAACATTGCTCTGTTTTCTAAGAAATAAGCTGTACATATTTTTATAATTCAAAGGATTATGAAACTGAACTGTTTGTATCATGCTTTTTTTAGTAGAATTATTTAAGATTTGAGTAAGAGCATGGTAATCCTCCTCAGGCACACCCTATTCCATGTGATTTAATTTGTACACCAAAAAAAAACTGATGAAATTAAAAGTCCTGCCCACAAATTAACAACTGTCCTCTTGTAATTTAGTAAAGTTGACAAATTAGGTGTTTTCAAACTCTGAATTTTTCTTAATTTTAGTTGACAGCACTAATTTAAACCTGTGTAAGGTGTAAATTCTTTTAATTGTGTTTGTTAATTCGGGAACATTTGATTCTGTAAGAGAAAGTTAAAGAAGTTACTACAGATTGCTTTACAGAAAAAAAATACCAACACTGTTAACAAATTTTTTCCAGTCAAATGGCTATTTCTTATTTTGGGTTTTAAAGTTTTTGAATCTATAAACATTGTTAAGGTTTGATTTACAGTTTTGTAAGAAGAATTCTTATTTTTGGTATGATTGAGTAGTTTAAACAGTAGAAATAAATTAACAAACATGTGGGTGGATTATAATATAAGAGACATTTCATCACCTTAGTGCAATAACTCCTATCTCCTATTAAATTAAGAAGGACTTAACCTGTTACTGCACTAAGGTCATGATTTGTACGCCTGTAATACTATGGCCAGAAAACCTTACTATACATGTAATATAAAATAATGCTTATCAACATTTGCAACATGATATCTGTTTAAATTGTGGTTTGCTTCCTCAAGGTATTTCTTAACTAAGATATCTGTTTAATTTGTGGTTTGCCTTCTTAAGGTATTTCTCCTTAAAGCATTTAATAAACAGCTATCTTTTATGCAAATCAGATATTTAAAGAAGAACAATGCAATGTTGAATAAAGCACAATTTATGTAATGCCAAAAAAACATGTTATTTCAGTAGTATCATATCAGGACATTACTGTTGATGATGAAAACAGAAAACCTACATTTTAGTCTAAAGAAAAAGTTACAGAATGTCGGTGGTTCTACGGAAAGTCACCTATACTGTGTTGATGCAACATTTAACCAAATAAAAAATAAAAAAATAAAAAGTTTGGTTTAAGGACAGTATTGTATATCATGCATTTATAAAACCTTGATTTATGTGACCGTGACCATCCACAGATCCTGAATATATGTTACTATTTATAAGCTTCTATTACATTACCAGGGAAGGGCGTGAGTATTGGTTGTAAAAAAAAACATGCCGTAATTTCTACATGAAATTCCTCCAGAAAACAAATTAGCAGCCTCATGAGCAAGCTGAAAAATTAAATCTCCCCAATAAAGATGCTGGAATTGAGAAACCAATTTGTCACATGGTTGATAATCAGTGTCTACAAAATGAAATCTCAGTTGACTTTAATCAATGTTAACATATTTTAGCTGTTGATCAGTGATTTTAGACCAAACCTGCTATTTCCCTCATCAACAGTTGTGAAGTTACTGAAGTTTTTCCCCAAAAACCCCACCCCTTTCTTTAACTTGTGGACACAGACCTATTTCTGTTATCACAGGGTTAAGTAACCACATGAAATTTTGATGATGACTGTTTATGTATTGATTGCATATATATTTTTATATGTGAAGTGTAAAGTTTGTATTAATTTGCAGATGCTAAATGTATTAAATTATCATACCTTTTTCGCACGAGTATTCCACTTGGAAATAAGTGCTGTATCTATTATCACAGTTTGTTAATTTCCGACCAAAACTGCCGCTTGGTAGGTTAATGCTACACGTGTCACGCCCCGTGCATGGGTACGCCTCATGCTCGCCCTGAGTACAGTCTCCGGGTGAATACGAACACAGTCCTCGATCACTGTAGCCGTAAAACGCTTTAGTTATACGTAACATGTGCCCGGTACCACACCTGATCTGCAGCGACCTCTGGGAACCATTGAAGCATTCGCTCACTGTCTCGCCTGAAAGTAAATGAAGAAAGAACTACTGTAAATTACATATGCCTTTAAATTCCCATAGTTTTAGCCTGTAGAGACTGTTTGACTTACTCAGGTCATTTTGATTTTGCAAAGTGTATAACTTTTGAGTTTTATATGGAGTCAAAGTTTGCATAAAAAGCTGATATCACTTCAATTGTCATTCTTCACAGATTATTTTTAGTAATTTGCAGATTTGAAAAAAGCAACAAAGAAACAACCAAAACTATAAATGGGTAACAATTGTTGTACGGAACTTGAAAAGTTCATGTTGCTATGAAACAGAAAACATTCCCCTCAGGTTCTAAGTCATGTCTTTTGAGACTATCAATTAGTTTGATTACATTTTTTAGACAAATGTATTTTAAATATTCAGATGCATGCTGTCAAATGGAATATTGGAGTACTTGATATTGGCTTGATAAGTAACATGAAGTTCTATATTTTGTATTTTTAACAAGGTTATCCATAAATAGCCTCTTTCATAAAAAGATGTTTCAAACAAAATGTTTGAAACCAGTGAAGAATTGAAAGCCTTGATAAAGATGCTCTGATCATAAATTCAGAGCTCGCTTTTCAGAATATAATTGTTCAAATTATAGACTAGATTTTCTTTTGTGTTTAATGCACAAAAGCTTTGCATTAATGAGGCTAATGGCAAATATATGGACACCTGCCATGTGCAAAAATTTCCAACAGACTTGGTACAGAATTCTCATGATATAAATTGATAAACGGAACCAGTCTTGGAATTCTTGCATTTGATTGGCTGATTTTGAAATAAATCTTGAAATTGACCAATCAGATTGTTGAAAATAAATCATATCAGACTGGTACCATTAAGGTCAAGTTTAATGATTTTATTTGACACATTTCTTCTGTTGTTTTTATTATCTGCTATTTATTTCGTATAAAATGACAACTTGTGATAGTACAAAGTGGTCATAGTAGTAGTATTCAAGTAGTTAGCAAATAATTTTCCTTGACAATTTATTCAACAAATATGCTCTATAAGTGCTCTGTAAATATAATGAACACAAGAGTCAAAATGTGTACAAGATGTAAATGGTTATTGAAATCAAATATTGGTTCCTCAAATCTGGGTCCTACAAGAGCTTGCATGGGTTCAATCTGAGTCATAGAAATGTTTGCAAAGAGTAAACAAATGCTTGTTCCCTGGAGAAAATCAAAGATATGATGCTGAACATTTCATATTGACTAAACAATTCTTTGTTAGGTTAGAGTTGATTTAAATATAAATTGCATTTGCATATTGAATGTTAGAGAAGGAGTATAACTCTATAGCATATGTCAAGATTAAAGTCCCAGTTTGTCAATTTTAGAAATGAAATTGGGTAAAAATGAAGTCTTAAAAAAACTGCCTAAACAGGGGCACTTATAGATTCCATCCTGCAGTGATACTCTCAAACTGTCTGTCAGTACAGAGCTTACATTTGTATACTTATGTTGCTAGACTAACAATAGGTAACTGTACTTTCTCTTTGGTGTCATTCATTCTGTAAGGCTTTTACGTGGCTACAGAGAACAATAGAGTTGTCACAAAAGTACTGCCTCATTTTAAGCCCATTTGTTACTTGTTGACATTGAAAACCTTATAACATACAATGTTCCATATTTAAAGCAGTAGATTATTATACAAATTAAGTTGGAATGTAACATGTTTTGATGGCAGGAAAGATTGTAACATAAATATAATATTGATTAGTATTGTCTCTCGAAGGTATACAGGTATTGTAGTATATGTTTTAATGAGTTTATATTATATGAAGGAATGTAGAGAGGTGAGAAGGTTATGTAATTTGTATTGGGAAGAATATAACAATAGCATGGAGCATGTGTTACACGAGTGGGCTCACATGTTGAGGGTTGACCGCAAAACTGCAGTAACTTATATGAAATAAATAAGGACTTACAACAGTTTTGCAATAGACCCTCAAATTTTGCTCATTATTTTCTCTCACCTTTCTTACAGAAACCTAATTTCTGGATTGAAGATCATTATAACGCTTTTTCTCGCACCTTTTTTTACAAGCTGAGATTTTTACACATTTAATACACTTTTCAGAATCATTAATTGGGTAAAATTGGTCACTCTTCTTCTCACCTTTGAAAGACAAAATGTTTGAGGTTATACAGAAAATTTCTCAGCTCAAACTCAGTTATCAGTCATTTGGTTTGTCAGGAACTGCCCTGAAAATCCTGAGGCTCAAGACAGTGATATTAGAAAAAAAAAGTTTTAATAGTACCTCAACACCAGTCCTGTGGAAGTTAAAAAAGTTTTAATACTTCAACACCAGTCCTGTGGAAGTTAAAAAAGTTTTAATACTTCAACACCATTCCAATGGAAGTTTTAAGAAATTTCAATATCAAAACACTTAAATTTTGCAGCCTACCAGTATGCTATAGAATCTGGTCAAACTACAGGTTTGCTTGGAACTCAGGTGTCAGAGGACTGGTCACTATTCTCACTTCTGACAACTTGTGAGACCTTCATTATAGACCTTAAATTTACCACTGCCATTCACAAATAGAATATAGACTCAATCAAACTAAGTTTGCAACATTTTCAGTTTGGCCTCGTTCGAGGAACCAGTATAAGGTTTCCAGTCTGACTTTTTTATGAGATTGAATAGAAGTAAAATTGGAACAAGGTATAAGTAAGGACATTATGTTTGAAGCTTACCTGTTAATGAAGCTAGTTGATTGATAAATACAAGGAGAAAGAACACGATGGTGTTGTCATCTGGTCTGGCCATGCTGCCCTCAAGTCAGTCTGAAATATAACAGTGAAATATATATATTTATTTGAATATGACAGTGAAATATAAATCTAAAAATACAACAATTTTAGGGACTTCTGGGATCTTCCTCAAGAAGTAAAGATGGAAAATTACCTTATATATCTTTAATCAACCAACAAATGAATAAATGAATCAACTTTAGCTAGATAGATGTACAGGTTTAGCCAGACTCAATCCTTGAGGCATGTCAGACCTCTGGTATTGTGCTCAAGCTAATTAATATAAGGATGCATGGAGCCTCGATATCTTCAGATATACAGAAGAAACCAGTTTGTAAAGTCTCCAATTTTATAAAAATGACTGGTAATATTAAAATCTTCATACCGGTACTTCAAACAGGTTTAAAGAAATAAATAACCCAATTTAAAGTCTGGAAATTAATTAACAGGTGCACTTGAAACTGAATTTAGTAACTGAAAATTGTACTCAGATAATCATCAATGGAAACTGAAATAAAGCAGAGTGGTTAAACAGTGTCTGCCTCTCAACCTAAGGATCTTCGGTTCAAGCCCTAACTGGGGTCCTGGTACAACACCTGTACTGGTTAGTAACAGGCATCAGACTTGAACCTTAGGGGATCTTTGATTCAAGCCCTTACTTGGGTCCTGGCACAAACACCTGTACTGGTTATCAGACTTGATCCTAGGGATCTTGGGTTCAAACTCTAACTGGGGTCCTGGCACAACACCTGTACTGGTTAGTTACAGGCATGATAGACTTGATCCTAGGGATCTTGGGTTCAAACCCTAACTGGGGTCTTGGCACAACACCTGTACTGGTTAGGTACAGGCATCAGACTTGATCCTAGGGATCTAAATGCGTTCAAACCCTAACTGGGGTCCTGGCACAACACCTATACTGGTTAGGTACAGGCATCAGACTTGATCCTAGGGATCTTGGGTTCAAGCCCTAACTATAAGGGTCCTGGCACAACACCTGTACTGGTTTAGGTACAGGCAACAGACTTTGGAGTGGTACAGATAATTACACAATCGTTCGTTTAGCTAAAATAAATAATTTTATACCAAGAAAGAGTGCAATGGTGTTAGGGTTATTGATAAAAGATTACATCCTTAATCATGACAGCTTAAAATTCTTGGCAAGGTAAAATATTGTCCAACTATTAAGCAAAAATATAGATATAGTTTGATTATTAAATAAACAATGAAGAAAATTGATGATAAAAGAGAGAAAATTGTTATTGATTATTGATACCAGTGGTAATCAATGAAGTTTTAATTGTGATTGAAGTTTGTTTATCAGTTATGAAACAATAATAAGAGATAACCTTAAAACTTACAGGTTGTTTAAGTTCAGCATTGTAAGTCAGTTTACTTAATTAAAAACAAAAATTTCGAAATGAAGAAAACTTGAATTTACAAATTTACTTAAAATGTGACAATGTCATTTTAATTAGATTTGAATTTTAAACATTGAAATGTATTTCTGCATAGCCTTTCTTGCCAATTTAATTTTTTATGCCCTTACTTTCGGGACGGGGAAATAGCTTTGCCCTTCATAATTGTCCATACTACTGTCGCATTTTCCCAAAACAACAATATAAGGGGGCACCTGTGTCCTATGGACACATTTCTAGTTTGTAAATTTTTCTAATTTTGTGGGGTTCTAAGTCACACCAATACCACAGTTTAGGTCATATGGCAGCTTTTATATTCCAACTGTATATTATTATTGGCATTATCAGGCAACCTAGTAGAACCACCAACTTTCTGGACCTAAATGTAAGTTATTATGAACCTGAGCTGCCTCACATTGAGTCCATTGTAGGACTCAAACCCATGGTCAGAGGGTCAAGTGGTTAACAGTGAGTGTATGTCAGCCCATGCATTCTCTTTTATTTATAGTATTTGAGTCTTTTACAGAAAAATGACATTGCCATGGGTTTAAAATCCATTTAAATCTTTTTGTTAAGTTGTGACACAACATTTTGTGAATCCTTTAGTAGATCTACTTAAAGAAAATGGGTAATTTATAAATCAAATGAATCAAAGTTTTGATGTCATAGTAGAAAATATACGAGACTTTTAAGTATGGTAATATTTGCATTTATAACTTTGATGATTTTAAAACATGACATAAAACATATAACTTAAAATACATGTAATACATCTTTTACAAAATTTAATGTCAAAATATGTAAATAATCATTTTAAAAGACATATACATTTAAATGTCTTTGCATCAATGACATTGTATAATTGTTGTAGTTTTTTGAAGCTCGTAAGTTTTAACGTTGACAGATAGTTACTAATAACCCATCTTCATATGATTTAATTTCAAAGTTATCTCCTGACTTCATCTTTTAAGTACTCTGTTAAAGGCCCATCATGAACACCATTTTTTCTTCTTTTAAACAATTAACTGTGCTAAATTCATACAAGTAGATAAGTTCAGTTTAAGAGACATTCTAAGTTTTTAGTGTCAAAAATAGACTCGGTGTTATTCTAGCTGTTTCAGAAATACAAAAAAAAGAGTTATGGTATTTTTTCTGTACTATATCATGTTATATAATTACATTGGTTTATTATTTGCAAAAGTATGTAGGTATTGGCCTTTAAGAAAACTTTCCTTTTTTTTTCAAAGTTAAAATGTATAAAAAATGATTAATTAGATACCATACCTTTGGGAATATCTCTTGAATTTTTCGCATGAAGGATCATATGTAGAAAAATATATTCCTATAATTGATGAGTAGATTTAATCCATTTATCTATGAGGCAGCATATTTGTTTTGTTTATTTATCCCAATTTTCAACAACAGTCAAAGTAGCAAAATGATCCAACCTTTAACAGTAAAAAATGAAGAAATTTTATTATTGTTCGCCAATTTTGTAATTGTTCACCAATTTTGTTATTGTTCACCAGTTTTGTTATTGTTCACCAATTTTGTTATTGTGCTCCAATTTTATAATTATTCACCAATATAAACTTTTCTGCAAACTCAAGGTACCTTGGTCAACTTGTTTCAGAGAGTTTGAAGTTTTTAAGTCTCTATTTCTATAAATTTCTTACAAATTTGTTAAATTTCCTTTTATTTCCAACAATTCCTGGTATAATTCAATTAATTTCAATATTTTTCTGTCCTTTTCTATTAGTTTGATACTTTCAATAAGTCTTAAATATTAGTAAGTCTTCTTCTGATGTCTAAATCAATAAAGAGTTTGCTGAAAAAATATATGAATAATAATCCATCCACGTCTGAAATAAATATCCTTGTGCCAACAGTTGAATAAAACAGTCCCGATTAAATACACTATATCAACAATTTTTTCAAAAGCATATTTAATAAATGAAGTACTGGTAGTGTAAAGCGTTTATAGATAATCAGCGGTTTATTTGAAGGACTATTGATTAGGCCAATATGTCAGTGCAATCTGCCGTTACAGTTAATGAAATGGACCAATGAGGAGGCTGCTGTCTGTAAAAGGGGGGCGTGTCCTATCAGTATCCCCTTTTTTACCTGTAAATACGGTAGGGATAAGGCTAATGATATTTAATTCAAATGTATTCTATCCCCTATGATTGTAAAGCAGTACAAATGGAGAGAATTTGTTTTACATCCCCTCCAGGGATTTTACATGCTATGAGTTTCAATGATATCATTTTATCATTTATTGATATTCTAGGATCATTTGTTTCAGCTAATTGACAATTAATTGATTTATAAAGCAATGACAGCCCATGATTTATTGAGGTGGGTGAAAAAGAAAAAAGAGGTTATTTGAAAGCTAATTACTGTAGATTGCTGGTTTCAAATATATTTTTGTAAATTTTTAAATTTGAAAGTTGTTTTAATTGAAATGCCATACTATTTATAGCATATTCTTTGAGATATATTTTCCTTCTTTCTGAGAATAATTTCTCTAACCTATTTATTGAATTAGCCTTAAGAAGGTAAACATATTATGTATTAAAATATCTTAATAAATTAATCGTTATGATGCAGGAAATATATACACAGACTTCTCCTCAAACACAGGGCATCTGTGGCCAAATGGCTATGCATGTTCTCTCAGACTTTAAACCACTGGTCCCACTGCTAAGAGTTTGCATTACATCTGGGAACATTGAATTCTTCATGTGAGGAGGCTAACCAGCAAGGTTGATGGTTTTAGTCTCATGCAGAAATAATGCATGGAGGAGAACCCAGTGTCTTCCTACTACAGGAAAGCTGGTCAGTTACCATATAACCATGGACTGTAGCAATAAATATCCCCAAACCAATTTTTCCTTGTAAAGAGGGGGAATCCTTTTTCAGTGGGTTTAGATGACCAAAATTCCCCCTGAATTTATCAAATGTATGGCACTGCTTTGAATTCTTTCTTGGGAGGAAAGAAGGTTCAATCTACAAACATGTACCTAGCTGATGTGTTGAAATAGGTATTGAAATACTCCGCTAATGTTTTACTTAAACTTATTCGTAAAACTTACAAAAAGTTACAATATAACAACAGTTATGACTGTGGATTGTTATCCCAAATGAAAAAAACAAAAAACAAAAAACACTTTAAAATTAAAAAAGAAAATGAACAACATATGGCTTTGACAAACAAAAAGATTTGGCACGGCCTAATTGGGTTTAACTAAACGTATAATATTGGCTTTGTCGGCAGATCTCTTCAGAAAAGGGCACCTGCTTCAACCCAGGCGGCTCGTCTTTATTTGTCAAGTACGGTGACCTCGTGCACTGTGAAGTGTTTTATCAGATTATAAACCATTGTTAGATAATTGATCACCTATTGTTAAACAGAAGTGCATTATTCAATGATAAACACATAAAAGTATAAATATTTTATCATTGTCTTTATGATGTCTTTATGTTAAATTTTAGTACTTGTTAGATTTTAATCGGCTTTACGGGTGGTTCATTGAAGATGTATTTAGAAAATGATTACCGAGTTATCTGTCGGAGGAATCTAACGGGTCTTGCTTTAATCTACCCAACCACAAAAGAGAAAGCATAATTTGGAGAGACAATTTATTTCTTTCGATTGAATTATAGGTGTCGTCAATGAATAAAAAGCTTATAAATATTTTATTTTACCCATAATACCAGTGTGATTATACGTAGATAAGATTCATACCACGGAAAAGGCTTTCCTTTCATGATAGAATTATTCTCGCCCTCAAAGAATAATTTTAGTCATTTTCCCACCGCCACCCCCTGAGAAAATTTGATTTTGAAAAGAAAAAAAGGTATGATACAAAGTTAAATAAGTATCTAAGATAGATCCAAGATCCACAAACTTTTATTTAAACCTCTCATTATCTTCATAGTTTTAAAATAAGGGTTAAAAATTTTTGGTCTGTCAGAAATATTTTGCACTTTTACCAAATATATAGTCAAAGAAATCTTCGAAGGTGGCGACATGGCAGAGTGGTTCACGTGTCGGACTAGTAATCTAAGGATTGCTTGCTACATGGGTACAAATTAAACCCTGTCAAAGGCAAGCTGTTGTTTCTGTGAGCAAAAAAAACTTTACACTCATTGTTTTAAGTACTGGTTGGTTCCAGGAACTGATTCGAGGGTGCTACGTACAATAAGCTTATTATATAATCTTCCAACACAATCAAACTAAAACAAATTGGTATAAACTAAAGAAATTAAATGGAGTAAACTTTTTTCAAAATTTATATTTTACATGGAATGTGCAACATTTCAGAAGAAATAATTACATAGTGCATGGTTCTTGAAATTCTTCTTAAAATGCAAGTCCATGGCTGTAATTTTGAGGGACTTTTTTTTGTAAAGTCTCATTCAAGAGACTAAAAGTTAGTTTAATCAGAGTAAAGTTTAAGATTGAACTTGCTATCTCTGGGTCTGTAGTCAGACATTGTTGCCACTAAACCACTGTGCATGCTTTTAAATAACTCATCCGCAAAGTCCACTTTTATAACATGACATACTCATAGTTGTCCTGTGCCTTTAATGTATTAAAGGGAGCCAATTCATTAATGTAGTGCGCCTTTCATAGCAACTATCTAAAATTATGTGATTTTTTATGCTTTTAAATCTATAAATGGATAATTTTTAGTAACGTTTTTCTGCTTTTGATTAAGTATGGTCATAATGGCAATATTTTTTATGTTTGAAAAATTAAAATCTAACACTTGTTTTTTTGTAATCTCAAATTTTATGGTGTTAATTTGAGATGTGTTTTGTGAAATAAAAAGTTTTTATTTATCAGGAATAGAAAAAATGCGGTAAATATTGTGAAAATGATGTTATTTTCATGTGCATACGAATAAACTTGAAGCTTGCAGCTTGCGTTGTTGTCGTAATTTATCAACAAAATAAGAATTTATGGAGCCATTAGGCAAACAAAGAATCTAATAATTAGCGAGCTGGTTTCTACAGGTAATAAAAATTTCAACCAGTTTTTTTTCACTGGTCTATAGAGATTCATTAGTATTGTATTTCTTATTTTGCACCTGATAAGTTGAATGCTGGAATTCTTGTTTTTTATCTTTTGTATTCAATGTCTGATTGTAAAGTTTGCACCTGTACCAAATTTTACACCTGAAATCAGAAATGACGGAATTTCCCTCCAAAAATCTGGTCTGGGGCCCTTTGTGCCGGTCGACAGACAACGGTACCTAATAATCTTTGATGCAGATAACACGAAAATTACAAAAACTCACCATGCCTTATAAAGGTTACGGACCATATTGACAACCGTTCTTTTGTTGAATTCAATTTGTTTACCTTTTAAAGTTCACTGAGAGCTAACACTCGACCAATGAGAGTGAAGCTTTTATTGGCTGGTCGTGTGCCATCTGTCAAGGGCACACTTCAGGCCACCTGGTGGGGTTATCTGTCATTAAATGCGACTGTGTCTAGATATGTTCATCAGATATGGACTGGTTTTTATAGTTTTCTCTTTTTAAACCCCTCTCTTTTAGGTTTCGGATAACTTTAGAACAGTTAGACATAAAATTTAATGGTAAATAACCACAAAAATAATATTTTCATTATGAATACCATATGCACATGAAAAATAAATTAATACTGCCATTAATATGGGGATTGAAGCTTCTTAATTTAGTTATCAGAGAAGATGAAAGTGTTTGATGTCTACTGGAATGTGATCTTTTTTATCTGCTCTATATTTCATGATTAAAACAAAGGCCTTGAACAGTATTTTGTACAGATTGTTAAAAAAAACAACACAAAAAACAGCACAATTTAAGCTAGCCAATTTTGAGCAAAATGTACAATTTTAGTAAGGTTAGGATTGTATAATTTTAATTGTTCATAAACACTACAGTGGTTATTTTCCTGGGGTTGTATCAATTTTGATAAGGTTAGGAATGTATCCATAAACACTACATTTATAGTTACTGTAGTTATTTTCCTGGGGTTGTATCTGCCCACTTTATTTAAGCTCAGTAGGGAGAGCATCAGATAAGTAATCCAGAAGCTACTCAGGTTCAATCCTTGGGCGAGGCAGAATTTCTCCAGGAAAATTTTTAATAATCTTGGACATTTAAGTTAATGATCATTTCTCTCACCTCTGATTTGATGTCATGGTTCAGAACTGTTTAAGGGAGAAGATGTGTAAGCGGCCGGATAGCTCAGTCAGTAGAGCCACTGAACAATATTCCGACGGTCCCAAGTTCAAGTCCTGGTGAGGCTGCACATTTTTCTATCCCTGTGTGACATTTTATTATGAACTTGCCTGTTGCTCGGAGTTTTAGGGTTTTCCATAATAAGTAACCAACATTTTATGTATGGCCTGGCTGCACTGTGCTATATGGCATTATAATTATTAAATGGGTTGTCAAATAGTATAAATAGAAAAATATACATGTATATCAGTAACTTTTGGTTGGGGTGTTTACAAGGTATTTCGGAATGAAAACAATTTGTTTGATAAATTTGGCTTCAAATTGTCGTATAATTTTTGGGCATGAGCCTTGATATGTTTACGTCTGCGTGCTGAATTCCTTGCATGTGGCAATTGGTCAAATACTCTGTATGGGGGATTCAAGCCCAACCAACACGCAACACGACAAAACATAACGTGCCAATTTGAAATATTTTAACTATTGTCTAATGTTACAATTGTGTCACATTATTATCTGATCGTTCGAGATAAAACTAAAATCACCATTAAATCTACTATATCTTTATTGATCGTATCGAATCAAACTGCGTGTAAATATGTCTCTTCAGCTAAATCTAGTCGCTGGTGCCGACCCCAACCATGTAATTGTAAATATGCATAACGCGGGTCATTAGTTTTTCAAACTTTATCAAGATATCTTTGTCAATTTAGTTATCAGATGCTATCTAAAGATGTT